GAAATTACCAATTATTCCAGCCCACACATTAATTTTGAATTCGTGCTGAAAATGGTTTACCTTTATTGCATGCGGATTTTCAACGGCATAAACATGTTCATTATGGTTATTAGTTATACCTCTTCTTGTAAAACCCGCTTCATCGGTAAAGAGAACCTTCTTGACAAAGTTTGGATCTCTTTCTCTTTGCATATTAACAAATCGACAAAAACCCAAACGAATTTGAGGATCATGGACTAATAATTCTTGTACTGGTACTAGTTCCCTTCCAATTCGTCTGGTGCTTAATTCTGGATCTTCTTCAACACGTTCTAAAATGTCTTCTTCAACTTCAGGAATCCTTACAAAACGTTCTCTTCCATTATCAACAGTGTTGGGAGTAAAGGAACCGGTCTCCCGAAGACGTCTCTCAACAGCAGCTAAAGTTGGGTGGCTAGGACCTAGGTACACGACGATTTGGAAACCTTTCAGAGTACACCCTGACACTCTCTCGAGCATTTCCTTCACAAAATCCTAATGTCAGTAACATATCGGTATATTCTGCATTGGTATATTGTACAGCCATATTAATAAACCACGCATTTGTTTTTTTAATTATTGAGTCAGATAATAATAATATATAATATAATAATAATAATAATGTTTATTTACTGAAATATACATTTAAAAAATACATTAATAAAAACGACAAGAAATAAATAAACATACAAATTCACAGAAGCAGTACTTACATTGTGTACCGCTTGTACGTGATAATTTATAATAATAATTTTTTTTTGTGTTGACAAATTTAAGTTTTTTTTTTTTTTTTAAACAATAATGTAAAATTAAATAAATTGTTACATATTATTAGGTAGGTATATTATATGCTAAAAACGTCAAAATCGGGTGATGTCAAATCCGGGATTTTTTTGTCAATGTCCATTATAATGCGAGAAAGTCACAAGAGGGTATTAGTCATATTCGGTTGGATGTCTTATTTTGGGTAAGTATAGTTATTTATATATTTATATCTATTGTAAAATCATTCAATCGTTAACAAGAGATAAGGTGTTAAAACTTGACAATATTTTTATTTAGATGAAACTATGGAAAGCAACAATAAATGTTTTTGTATATTATTGCAGGCAAATAATTAATATTCCTCAAAAAATCGTACATGGCATGAATCGAGTATTTTTGTTAAAAGTCTCGATTAGAGGTGTTGAAGAAGATATGAAAAAAGTACATTTTTATGTTTTTCATCGTATAAAATTTTGTCCGATGATAATAATACATAGGCGTAGAACTTGATTTTTTAAATAATTGCCCCTTTAAAAATTCTACGCCAATGGCAAAAAAGGGGTTTGAGTATGAAATTTGGATTGGGTACTCATTTACTACAAAAAAGTACCCTTGATAACACTCGATTTACTCTCATGGTTTTGACAAAGTTTGTATTTTAATAATTGTGTTTATGTTCTAAAATTACTAAAATGCAAATTTCGTCAAAACCATGAGAGTAGTTGAGTCTTATCAAGAGTCTTTTTTAAAGTAAATGAGTTGCGCAATCTAAATTTCATACTCAAACTCCTTTTCTTCCATTGGCGTAGAATTTTTAAAGGTGCAATTATTTAAAAAATCAAGTTCTACGCCTATGTATTATTATCGGGCCACATAAAACAATATACCAAATTTCAGCAAAATCGCATATGCCGTTTTAAATTTATATGGGAAAAACGGTTAAAAAATTGTAACTTCAAGGTCCTCTGGAGCCCAAACGAAGCAACTTTGTACAAAGGTAATTTTACTTAAATCGACCTATTTTGGTCTAAGGAATATGTGGTATGTTTTTGTAAAGACCTTTTACAGACACCCTGTATAACATTAAAACTCTATAAAAACAAATTTTCTTTTCTAGTAAGTTAAATTTAATGAATAATTATTGTTGTTTGTAAGTCAGGATCTATGACTGTAAAATTTTATATTATAGAAACTTGTAATAAAATAAACTACATTCCGTAAGATACATATTGTGACTAGTTTATAATAAATATTATATTTTGATATAAATACATTATTTTACTTATATTAGAAGCTTTAAAAATACAATGAATTGATTTCTTTGATTCTACATTTAATTTGTATCCTGTTTTACAATCTGGAACGAAGTAAATCTTGCTTTGGTGTTTTTTGTCACTCATGTTACTTGTACTCAGGCACTTTTTTTACATTCTTTTGATTCTTTTCATCAATTTGTTAAAAAATCTCTGCATTTTACATTGACTTACATAGAAAATTGACACCGCTGCTGTTCGACATGCCAACTACAGTCAATTTCGTGAACTTTATAAAAAGAAAGACGGACATTTGAAATTTGACCATTGTAGATTCGTCTCCTTCTCTCTAGTGTTCATAAGTTTCTTTTACGTCAAATCAGGCCCTTTGGATAGGTTTTTGAGGTATAATACTTGTTTACCTTTGTCTGCACCAGTGGATCGATTATTTTCTTCTGCGTCAATAGTCTACGGCGAAATGCTCTCGGCGATTAAAGTTTCAAAATATTCGTGATAATGAAGGCCAATAAAGTAATGCAATAAAATAACACCAGCTGGGATTTTTAGGATTTTATTTTTTGTTTTGTTTTTCAAGCTAAGCTTTGATATAAAAAACTGTTTTTGTAGAATATTTTTTTTTTGCTTTTGCATAACCCAAACATAATTTTTAGCCAAAAGTACTTTAAAAGTAGGTACACGAAAAGTTCGGGTACTTGTATTCCACGTACTGTACTTTGAGTACTTTTTAGCAAGTTAGGTACTCGGTACTCTGTACTCTTTCCTTAATTATATGACACGTATTTTAGTACATTTTCTCGGTTTCCGGCACAGCTCTACTTATAACCAGAAGCATTCTTAGTTTCCTGACAATTTGGAGAGTTTGGGTTAATACGTCCACCTCACTAAAACTCCATTTTAGAGTCCCTTAACTATTTTTCTTGGGTTTAAAACTAACAAGTGCATTTTCTAAGGTAATATACCAAGACCTTGATAATAGTCAGCTATTTTTGTTGAATCTAAATCTCGAGAATATTTTAATACCAATTGTAATAATTAGCATTATTATTTGAAAATATAAAGAATTTACCAAAAATTCTAAAAAAGTATTTTTAAGGTTTTAAATTACAAATTCAAAAAGAAACACGTACTGCAATATCGTCAACAATTAGGTTATTAATCTTGTCAATGACTTACATTGAACTAGAGAATTCAAGGTAGAGCGTTGACATTTTTAAAAGTAAAACTCTCACGTAAATTTTGGGTCCCTAACTAGTTGCCAAGAACCGCCCGAATGGATGTTCCTTCAGGACTCCAGGAGCCTTTGTCTGACGACAGTGCTGCTTTAATCCCTTAAAAGTATATTAACAACAGTAGCTAAAGACCTATCTGTAGAGTTACAAATGATCTTTAGGCTAGTTGATTGTTACACAATTTGATGAGAAAATTATGTAGAATCAAATTGTAAAATGTTCGAGAAATTTAGCAACAACAAAAATAGCAGAATATTAATCAAGATCGTGTTATATTTGGAACGACTATTTCACTAGACCAAATATTGACTATTTCTCTAGAGAAATAGTCGCTGATATTTGGTCTAGGGAGATAGAGTTATTTTGTTTATTCATAAAATGTATATCTTAAAACAATTTTGCCTTCACGAAATCGCTTGAAAACCGTGCATCTGTACTTTCCATTTCCATGATCATGGGATCATAATCGTTAGAAAGACCAGCAACCATCGAATAGCAAGAAATTCATCTTCGACGGCTTTATTCACGTTGCTAAGAGACAGACATTTCCATTCGCATGGAAAACATCGCCTTTATGTCCGTATTCTTATGTGCAAAACCCTTTTCTTCAAAAGCTTTCTCCAGGTCATTCCACATTTCTTTGGTCGTCTTGCAACTACATACACGAGGATAATCACAAGGCAATATCATAGACCGAATTTTGGTTAAGACCTTGTGATAAATTGTATGTATATCTCGTAAATATCGTAAAAAAAGTTCCATTCCAAATTTCCATTCTTGATAATTTTCTCGTTTTACCAATTTAGAGATAAAGATATAACTACTTTTGAAAAGAAACATAGCAAACATGCAACATTAAATATTTGAAGGTTTTTATGGTAATGCGACGATTTTCTAACTACGTACTGCAAAAATTGCTCTTAACCGCTAATAAACATTATTAGTAGCATTTAAAGACTTTGAGCGTATTAAATACGTTTAATGCATTTGTCAACGCAATAAAACCATCTGCAAAGAGGTGTGACATACACTTAGAAAATGCTTCTATAACGTTACTGGTCCATATCGCCGTATGTGCGGCTTTCCGTTAACCATATGACAATTAATGCACTGAACAAATTATAATTAGCCTTCCGCTAACGAGATCCAGAACCGCCTCTTTTCAAAAATAACATTTCAACGTGTGTTAATAGAATCATTTATCAAACTTATGGTAGTTTCTCATCCGTGCCATGAGTTATGCCTTCGAGAAGTAGAAAAAAGTTAAATTGACCTTAAAATCTATTTATAAATTGTTGGTTTTTCCATTTCGCGATTATTTGCTCTTTCATTTGAATTCAGGAATAACAAAACCGAAAAATAAATCTACTTTGAAAAAAGTTAATGTGGTATGAACCTCTGATTACAAGAACTGCTGAAAAATGTATAATTCTTAGAACTTTTTTAACCAAAAATGCCAACTAGTTTACTGATGGTTTTACAGTTGAATTAAGAAAGAAAGCGACAGCCTACCATTAAATTGGAAATACGCGCAACTGGAAAAACTAAGGAATAATTTTGGAAAACGGAATATGACAAATGGTTAGTTGGAGGAGCTGAAGAAAAACACAGGAGAAACGACATAATCCAAAGCCGTAAAAGATACATAAGGACTTGCGAGAAGAAAATAAATTTCACCAATATTATATAAAAATAAAGTTTATTAATTTATAAACTGTTCACAAAATACATGGTACACTGAAATTATAAGCACTAAAATATAATTTATTGAAACTTCTAAGTTGGATGCAGACGATTTAGCTGCAACAAAAAAAATTATGTAGCATAATTTAGAAATATACCTATCTACAATAATAGGGTCCAACAAAGAAAAAGTTTTTCTTTGGTTCATTCAAAAAATATATGTATATATATACAGGGTGAGTCGGGAGGAGCGCACCAAACTCTAGGAGTATATTATACACGTGAAAATAATGTAAAAAAACTCATATGTTCTTATCCGATTTTCATTTGTTTTCAAGTTATAGCATATTAACAAATAAACAAATTTACACATAAAAATTCTCTTAATCATAGCGTTCTTTCAATAAATGTTCAAAAATACCGCCATTGACTTCTAAACATTTTCTGCTTCGTCTACGAAGAGCGTTTGTTGCTCTCCTAATTGATTCATTTCTTTCTTCTTTAATATGGGCTGCAGTATTCTCAATTCGTCTAATTAGTGCATCCCGTGTGTCCACTTTTATTTTGTAGACTTCATTTTTCATCCAGCCTCATGAACAAAAATCTAATGGTGTGAGGTCTGGAGATCTTGCAGGCCAATTAATAGGACCTCCACGACCAATCCAACGCCCTGGCAAACGTTCGTCCAAATGTTGCTTGACCTGACGAGCGGCATGTGCAGGAGCTCCATCGTGCTGATAGTACATCTGCATTCTAATATTTACAGGAACACCCTCTAGCAGGCCTTGTAATTCATTTTGTAAAAAATTGAGGTAGTTGTCTCCTGTGAGACGATTCTCCAAAATGAAAGGGCCAATTAAATAACTGTCAACCATACCACACCACACGTTTATAGAAAACCGATGTTGAAAATTGCTTTCGACTGTTGCGTGGGGATTTTCGTCTGACCATACATGATAGTTACGAGTATTATTAATGCCATCACGGGTAAATGTAGCTTCATCCGTAAAGAGTATACTCGATACAACATGATGATTATTATTTATCCACCGACAAAACTCTATACGGTTAGCGTAATCCTGTGGTTGTAGGTGCTGTACTCTCTGTACGTGATAAGGATATAAGCTTTGCTCGTGGAGTGTGTTTATCACTCTTTTTTGTGGAATTCCCAATTGAGTGGCAATTCTCCGTGAGCTAGTAGTTGCATCTTCTTCTACTAGATGCAGAATATTTTCTACTTCTACAAAACCTTGTCGAGTAGCGCGTTCATATGTTATGAAAGCACTGGAAAGCTTACCAGTCTCGCACAATTTGTTGAAAACTCTAATAAATACGTTTTTATCAGGATGTCTTCGGTGTGGAAAACGTTGACGATATTCTTCAGCAGCAGCTGTAGCATTTCCATTACAGAAACCATAAACAAACACCATATTTGCATACAGGGCCGACTAGAGGGGGGGGGGGTAGCCGGGACTAATTCCCGGGGCCCGGGCTTAAATGGGGGCCCGGCAGCGCTGTAAGGGGGCCCGGCAACAGGTTTTTTTTGTTCTGCATGAGAAATTCGACACAAAATGAGAGAGGGAAGTTAAGTTTAAATTAAAATAAAATACACGTAGAGGAAAAGTTTTTTGATGTGATGACCTTCTTTTTTACGTTGTGGACAGTAGATAAGCACTGATGATGGCAAATAAGCCGAAAGCGCTTTTCATTTATTAATTAAAAAGTTTTGCACGAAATACAAGTATTTCCTTTTGATTACAATATATGACGACCGCCTATAATAAAACAGCAGTAGTTCTGCGTATCCTAAATTTGTATCCCTGGGGTGGATGTTATTTTGGAACTTTCAACTGGTCCGAGTGAGCTAACTGATTCTTTAGCAATAAACTGTGACTCCAAAAATAATATTCACTGACACTGACAGCAGCAAGCAAAATATCAGGTGCGTTTTAATCATCCGCTTCTGCTTCCGGAATTGTCGGTTTAGTCGTTTTAACCTGTCAGATTAAAACAAGAAAACCGATAATTCCAAAGCAGAAGCGGATGATTAAAACGCACCTATTAAAAATATTGCGCCAAGATGTAGGCAACACGTAATAAGGGATCAAAATGGCGGAGTTTTCTATCTCCTTTTAAAAGGCACTCAGAAATCTGCGCAGTGCGACCATTCTCCGTATAGTAAAAGAAAATCAAAGTATGTGCTGTTCACTGTACGCTGACAGTTCATCAAAACGTCAGAATTATCAAATGCCTTTGAGTCTTGAACATATGGTATACTTTGATAATGTTAAAATTCAGAAGTGGAAAGCTAGATGAACATTTTTAATTACGCCATGACTTGAAAAGAAATGAAAATCGGATAAGAACATATGAGTTTTTTTACATTATTTTCACGTGTATAATATACTCCTAGAGTTTGGTGCGCTCCTCCCGACTCACCCATTTTAATTTAGAGGCATGCGAAGTTGTCACGAACCAGTTTTTGTTGGTAATGGCCTACTTTAAAAAGATTTTTTTCGTGGATCACTATTATTTTCGTTAATAGTATATTACGTAACAAGAGTTGTAAGTAACCCATTACGCACGAAGTGAAAAAGTTTACGAAAGAAGCCGCGCAGCGGCGAGTGCGTAAATTTCACGAGTGCGTAATGGGCTTACAACTCGTGTAACGTACTATACTTTTTCTACGCCCACTTATTTTCTTCTATTAAATAAAGGTCATATGCTTGTGTCGCCAATCCATAAATTTTCGATAGGTTTTTTCGTAGGGGAACTTGGGGTAAGATGACGAATGGGGTAAGATGACTAACGCCAAAATTTTACGTTCAGAATTATTATTTTAATTTGTACATTTGGCCAACATCTTAGGCGGAGGATGTAGTATTAAGGAAGGGTAGCTACTTGTCGCAGAGGTTTGTAGTTTGACGTGCACGCGGTCGGATTGTATTTCACAACGATCGCTATAATATTTAGGTTAGTGAATTTATAGTGGTTTTGTCTGTTAATGAGTAAGTACGATTTTCATTATTTTTACATATAGTACACTGGTATTAAGAGTAAACAATCACTGCTTGGATGTATCGATTATTGTTGTTTTAATTTAGAAATAATAAAATAAAGTTATTTGTGCACCAGGGGCAAGATCTTGCCCCATAAATAATTATGCCATACCTTTCAGTATGAAGAATTATTGCAATATTACTGTTTTTATTACAGAATGCCCAGAAATTACAAACAGAAGACCAACCGTAGGGAATGAGACAACGACTCCCTCAGGTTAGCGCTACAAGCTCTGAAGCAAGGTACTTCATCTTGTAATGCGGCAACTATTGAGTATAAAATTTCTAAGGCAACGCTGAGGAAATATCGAAGAGAAAACAACTCGTGGGGGAATAACTTCCATAACATGCAGGTCGATTTAAAAATACTTCTACGCTCCAGCAGACTGCAGAATTTTTTCAATATATAACAGAATGTAATAGCCGTGGCCTTGGACTGACTTCAATTCAAGTGCGTAAATTAGCATTTCAATTTGCTGAAGAGAATGGAATACAACACAGATTTAATCGCAAACTAAAGTAGCAGGAATTGACTGGTTTAACGGGTTTAAAGCAGTCAACCATTTTAGGCTGAGAAATGCAGAAGCCACATCTCGCCTTAGAGGGTTCAATCGAGTCTCAGTTGAGAATTTTTTTTTGATCCTTACAGACATTAAAGATAAGTATAAGTTTAGTGTTGATCGCATCTATAACGCTGACGAGTCCGGCCTATCCATGGTGCCAACAAAACTACCAAAAATTTTAACGCCTAAAGGACAACGTCGAGTAGCCAAAATAGTATCCGCTGAAAGAGGCCGTACGACAACCTTGGTTTGTTGCATGAACACTGTAGGCTCCTATGTGCCACCTTTTTTCGTATTTGCTCGTCAACGAATGAAACCTAAACTGTTAAATGGATGCCCACCTGGATCGCAAGCAACGGCACAAAATTCCGGATGGATGACCGCTGAGAGTTTCCTGGCATATTTAAGACATTTTGTTAAATATGCTAAGCCTTCCGTTAATGATGCGGTGTTGTTATTAGTCGACAACCATAGTTCACATATTTCACTTCCAGGGATCAACTTTTGTAGAGATAATGGAATAATACTGGTGGGATTTCCACCTCATACAACACATAGGATACAGCCGCTCGATGTTTCTTTTTTCGGTCTTCTGAAAACCTATTACAATCAAGTGTGTAATGAGTTTCTGGTCGATAATCCTGGAGCGGTAATTTCTAACAGAAATCTTGGTCCGTTATTTGCCGAAGCTTACTGTAAAGCTGCTACAGTCAACAATGCTGTGAAAGAGTTTAAAGCATGAGGTATCAAACCATTTAATCCGATAAATTTTTAGTGACAGCGATTTCGCCGCAGCAATAACGACACCAAGAAATGGGAATGCTATAAAATTTCCTTTAACCATTGACACGCAGTCAGATGCTGATGACGGCGTTGCATTATCTGTCCTTGAAAAAAAAATCATACTGAACCAGACACCAGAACAAAACGAGACCAATTTAATGAGTGCTAAGAATTCAGTTTCCAATAAACTAGAGTCAAGTAAGCGAAATTTATTTGAAGAAAACCAAACAGCTTTGAAAGAAATTAGGCCAATACCGATATCAGAAAGGAAGTCCACAACACGAAAAAAATGTCTGCCTCTGTTATTAGTAGCACCCCTGTAAAGGAAGCTTTGGAAATAAAACAGAATGAACTAGCAAAAAAAGAGCTGAAAAGAAAACTAAGATTGGAGAAAAAGGCTATGAGACAGGAAGAAAATAATTTAAAGAAAAAGAAAGTGGACAAAAGGCAAAAACTTTTAGATCAATCAATACCCACACAGTGTGACTACGATAAGGCTGGCCCAAGTGGTTTTAATTCTATTAATAAGAAGCCACTTAATGAAAGTCACTACATTTGTCCAGGTTGTAATGAATTATACAAAGATCCTCCAATTAAAAATTGGATCCAATGTTCGTCTTGTTTGTCGTGGTGGCACGAGGAGTGTTCTTCTTTTGAAGATGGTGAATTATATTGCGATTTTTGCATGTAAGTCATCTTACCCCAACGCGTTCGTCATCTTACCCGATGTATGGGGTAAGATAACTAAAATGTCAGTTTTTAGTTTTAATTTTTTTTTTAGCGAAAGTGGTGTATTTTTTGTGATATTTGGTACCTAAATAATGTAGGAAATATATTTGTAGGTTTACGTTTTCATTTTCGTTTCTTAAAATAAATATTTTCATTACTAATTGAGTTTTTCTTAACATCGCCATCTTACCCCACTTTCCCCTACCTTTTTTTGGATTTTAGCGGCAACAAATTATGTGTGGCAGCTTGAGCTTTTTCTAAAATCTCCGGTGGAGTGCTCATAATTTCATCACTTTCACTACTAACAGATATATTCGTAGGTAAAGTTAAGAAAATGTTCGAACACAATAATATTTTGTTACAAAAATTGACAATATAAATTATTTTATTTCCATAGCATGCTAAGAAAACGCAACTTGAAAAATTGTATAATGTGTTGCCGTCATTTAGGGACATCACTGTTTTAATCCAAAATATATCTCGCTAATTCTAAAAGTTTTTATGTTTTTCAACTGACTAAATTTATGTAATAGACCAAATAAAGTCGAACGTAGATAAAAATTTGATTGCAATGGGCCATGTTCACATGTGAGATATGCTGTTTTATAAATTATATTGTAATAGTTAGTCGCTATACAAGTTATTCTAAATAGTCAGTTCGTTAAAAAAGCCAAAAGTTTTTAAATTAAGCCCAATTGAAATTTAAAATTTGAAATTATACGTCATTGGGAATAGACCAATCATCTTGTGTCGAAGTTTTTTTTGTTATACAAAACTAAGCCAACGAACAAACCGACACACAGAATGTCGAAGTGAACGCACATCTAAGTGACATTAAAATTGACACCACCTAACACCTAACCTTAGTTTTTTGTTTTGGTTTAATTTTATTATTAATATGAATCAGCTGGATTTATAAAAGTTAAATCAAGTGTTTTACCCATTGTAAACGAAAATATGATTACCGAGATGATTACTGCATTTTTTAACAATACTCAGTTTACAAAAGTCAGAAAGGTAAGACTTTGTTTTAATAGTAGGTAGTTACAGTTTATATGGAGCAAGTAAAACATAATATTTATCTCAGGTTTTATTTTTAGATCTGCCAAGCAAGAATATGGGGATAATTTCTTTTTCCATAAGAGAGAAGGAGACAAATTACACCTAAACATAAAGTACGGCAAAAACCTTCTGATGTGGTTGTTGTAATTAACAAAAATGAAATTTTTAGTGCACAATATGCTTAGGATATGCTGCATGTCAAGGTTTGTAATATTTATTATACTTTTTTGTTTTTATATTACATATAATAAACAGTGTATAAGGCCCTTTATTCCTATAAATATTTTTTTTCTAATTTTGACATATAGACATTTTTTGTAATCGCAGCAAGTGTTAAAATAATCTAGAAACAGATTTTGTTAGTGAACCTAGTAATAATTATGATACCAAAGAATGCTGCAGAGCACCTATGAAATTTTGAGTTAAAAAATATGCCATATTTTTAGGCTATTTTTATACCCTTTTCAAAAATTTCAAAAATAAACGGAACTGCAAACATGTTTTACTATCGTAATAACGAATAGCAACATTAAATTTTTTTTCTTCAGATTTATCACTGTTGTCATTTTCATAAAGGATTGATAAGAAGGCACACTTTCTGGTTTTTTGAAAAAGGTGGCAAGAATTGTGATATTTTTAAATTTATCACCAGTGAAACCACATGTAGTTACCCGATTTATTGGAATATATAGACTTTGCTACCACATTCAACTGAACTTGGTTGTTTTTAATATTTATTACTGTGACATAGGCGTTTTTGTCAAAATGTTTCATTTAAACTGCTGTAAATAGGTGCCTTTGTTTTGGTAGTTTTAAAAAAAATCTATGCATATACAGGTACTCATTCCTCTTTGATTTGTTCGAAAAGTTAAAATTTTATAAAAAATTACATTGGCTGTTTAAAAACTCATTATAATCCCTGAAATGTGATAATTAGGTAAATTAAATTAAAAAAACAAACAAACAAAATTTATTAAATTAATATTTACTCTTACAAAATAGGTTCTTGTAAGTTAACAAGCAATTATGCAGATATTACTAAGTAAATGTACTTGCTTAAAATTCACACAGGAATGTGGTTTTAACATCTTAAATTAACTAACCCTTCTTATAACTCTTTCCACATGTATTCTTAGAGATGCTATTCTTTTACTTAATTGTACATCTTCTGGAGAACTTTTTTCATTCTGTGATACACTAGGTGTGGCTTTACTAAAGTGCATCCCATGTTTTCAAGTAGCTGAATATTCTGAAACCCCTATTTGCCATTATATGGGATCCAGGAACCAGTTTGTTTAAATACCCACATTTTTCTATTATTTTTTTATCACTAGTTCTTCCACAAAATGATGAATAAATTCGGTATCTTCAAAACTTTCAGGAGATTCTGCATTTTCTTCCAGAAGGGTTTTTAGGTTATACACCTAAGAATTTATAGTAGCCTCATTTTCAATTTCCTGAAGGGGACAATTAGCAGAAATTGCTGCTACATCTTGATAATCCGGTGTATTTTTATTAAAAAGTTTACGAGAACATCGCTAGTAGAAGGTTGATTTTCTTCTTTCCAAATTTCTAGGAACACTAATAAATATTTTTGAAGATGAATGTGAATAATTATCACATTCTGGAACAAAACACTTTTTTGTAGTCATAATATTTATTAAAAAGTACAAAATTAAACACTCAAATTCCAAATAAATTCTTGATCGAGAGTATCGAGACACTATGATGACAGATGCCATACACAGTGCTGCCATTTTGCCATTTTCTGAATTATTAAGTGACTTTTAAAACAATGAAACTTTAAATATGGTAAAAGTTTAAACAGAAATAATACTTTCAAAAAACATTTGATATTATATATTTAAAAGATATTTGTTTAACGATGTTTTAGAAGTCTAAAAGTAAGAAGGAGTACACAAACGAACGTACATCACTTCTCGTAAACCTTCTAGCCGGCAACGTTGTGCGCTAGCTCCTATTGGTCTATTCCCGGTGACGCCATAAATTTTAAAAACATTCATAACTCAGGCAAATGAATAGATAAAAAAAAAATAAAAAAAATGTAGTTTTATTTTTAACTCTACTATTCATAAAAAAAAATTCAAAATTTTTGAACATGCCCCATTTGATTAAACTAAGAAATTTAAGTTTTCTTATCAAAACGCACATGCATGTTATGATATCTCATTACTTGCATGTTATTATTAAATGTCATTTACAAGAAATGTTGACAGTGCGATTTTTAACGTTTACTGATATGGGTATAGAAAAACATTATTTTACACGATACGTATTTTAAATTTTATAATACGTTTATTATTTTTTAATTTTCGTTATTCTAATTAAAATTTTAATGCTAACTGTCATTAGTTAAAATTATCCCACCCTGAATTCCTAGATAATACCCTCCCCACAAGTTTTCATTCCTAAATAGATAGATACACATGTACTGATGGTTAATATTTTTTAAATGTATTTCTTGATTTTTTCAGAAAAACAGAAAAATAAAGTTCAGTTTTCATTTTTTAAACTGGTTTTTTGTTTTTGTTGTATTCAATAAACGTTATCAGTATTAGAAAAACAAAAACACATTTTTACCTCCTCTACAAATACTGTCATCAATAGGAATATCTGCTCCCACTAGATTTTTAAAAGTGTCTATTGGACAAAATTCATCACAATCTGGTAACTTGACGACTACTGGCTCATTACGGTTTTTATAAAGTATCTGAAAAAAAAAATATTTTTTATATTTTGAATTTTTTTTATTATTCGTATGTAGGGAGAGAGTTCCAGAATCATATAAAAAATGGCACATAACAAATTATCCTATAGGCTGAAGATACACTCGATGCAAGTTCAGAAGATCAAAGATTAATTATTATCCATTCGTTAGTAAACAGTTCATTAAGATCATCTCAAACATATATTTCTGTTTACAGTCTTCGTAATTGTATTCCATACTTCAACTAATGTGGGCGGTGCCTTTTCAACTTTCAACTGATTAGTGGTCTCTACCAGTCATTCCATCTACCGATAGCACAGTTTATAGCTAAAGAATCAGTTCACTCACTCTGCGTCGGCACTTTTGATCTCAATGTTCCAGTTTATACACTGCGCAACTCGGATTTGTATCCCTGGCGCATACAAAATCAAATCATAATCAATACAATATATGACCGCCTACTATATTCCAGTCTTCTGCGCATCTTGAATTTGTATCCCTGGAGTGTATATTATTTTGGAACATTCAACTGGTCCAAGTGAGCTAACTGATTCTTTAGCAATAAACTGTGCCGATAGTCAGGGCTGACTAGGGGGGGGGGCAGCCGGAGAGGAGGAGAAATTTTTGCCATAAAATTATCGCGGGGCCCGATCTGGAGAATTGTCCTGGGGCCCGGTCTGGCTCTCGGCGGTTCTGCCGATAGTGGTACCCATGTAACAACATCGTGTTTAGAAATCCTAATTGATTGTCTAAGGATAATTAATTATCTCGTGGCTTCCGAACTCCGACGCCTCAACTGGCGCAGAGAGAGACCACAGAGAGTTAAGGACTTAAGATAAGGTACGTTCTCCTACAAATTCGCTGGTCGCTGGTCGCTGGTAGCCGCTACCGGTTAGCTGCTACCAAGTCGCCAAGGTATTGGCAATGGAATTTAATCAGACTGTTCTCCTACAAGTTACTAAGTAACTGCTACCGACGACTGTTCGCTGGTCGTTGGTCGTCAGTCGTTTGTCTGCTTCGAGAGCAGAGCAACGTCCCAATTCGTAGCGAATTAGTTGGTTTTTGTTCATTAGAACATTATTCTTTATCAGATTCAGTATATAATTAAACTGATATTGTGAAATACGAAAAAATTCTTTAATTTCGTTTCATTATCTTTAAAAAGACTTTTATTAAAATTGATTAAAATCCTTCTGTTTGTCTATTTTTAAACATAGGCAATTCTTTCTTCCTGCGTTTCTCATTTTGTATTATTAAGAGTAAAAGCAGAGTTTCCTCTTGAACCTGGTAATTTAACAATACTAAAATAAGTGTCTTTCTAATAATATTCATTTTTCACACTGTAGGATATTTGCCAGCGACTACAAATACTGACGTGTGTAGGAAAACACTATATGCCTTTGCGACTTGGTAGCAACTACCCGGTAACAGCTACCAACGACTAGCGAATTTGTAGGAGAACGTACCTTTAGCTACCTCTACCTCACTATCCTTAAGCTACGTTCTCCTACAAATTCGCTGGTCATTGGTAGCCGCTACCGCGTAGTTGCTACCAAGTCGCAAAGGCATGTAGTGTTCTCCTACACACGTCAGTATTTGTAGTCGCTGGCGAATATCCTACATTGCGATTTATAATTTCTGCGATAGTAACGTCTTTTTTTAATGTTAATTTATATGATTGGATTTTAGGATCATATAATTCTGGATGGTAAAATGAATTTCAATGCCGTTGACTTTCCTTAAATGACAGATTTCGAGCTCCCTGGCCAAAAACGGCATATTACTGTCAGAAACATTGTTGATTGGTGTGAAAATAATTTACACTCTTTTACAAACATTTGAAAGTCCGTAAGCTTTGTTCTTGGTGGATTCCCCACAACTTGACTTTAACTCAAAAAGAAGATCATGTGAGATGGTGCTACTACACTAGATCGCTTTGACCGTGGATCATCTAATTTAGTGTACAACACCATCACAGATGATGAAACATATGTATACTGCTATGACCACGAAAAAAACGCAACAATAATTGTCAGTAGTCAACAGGACGCGACGGTGGCAAAGAAAACAATATACAATGCAAGAGTTGCAGAAATTGCTCACACAATATAATATGTGACAATATGCTGCGAGAGAAGTTTTTCCAAACAGAAGTACTTAAAACAAGCTAAGGAGTACTCTCAGTCAAACCCGACGACATATACAAAACATTAAATACAATAGAAAGTGATGACATCATTGACTGTTTATGGAAGAACCAGTATTTTATTCTTAAAGAAACTCTTATTTAACTGCAAAACTTTATAGCGTTTTCCATTGGAATGTTTAGTTACGATCTGAGTGTATTCTTACTTTCTTCTTTTCCATATTGATAAAAAAAGAACAAAAATATACTAAGTGCGTACTGCTCGAGGTACTGCTGTGTGATATTTTTGTTAACAAAATTAAGAGTTCTTTTTTATTTATGTTTATATGTAATAATAATTACTGTATGTTCTTTTTTTACCTATGTGTTTTTGATGTAAAAAAATAGAGTTTGTTTTTTATTTATCAGTTATTGTAAAGTAATCTGTGGTTAATTTATTAATAAAAAAAAATAAAATTAGTTTTTCATTTTTTTGATAAACCGGCGCGGTGCCGTTTTAATTGACTTTCCGCGCTTGTCGAAGAGGCCTCTGATATGAATGCCTCTATCTCCTCTAACAGATGTTTCCAGTATACCTTTTTGAAATCATGAGTTGTTACCTTACATGGTTATTTAAAGAAGTTTTAAAGAATATCCAAGAAAATGTGTTAATTAATTTAGAACACATCTTTCAATAAAAATTTGAATTTTCTGGATGGACAATTTAGAACAAGAATTTTTAGAGAATCTTTGAACTTTACATAACTCTTAAAATGGTACCTGAAATCCAAAAACTCCATTGACGTAATGTAATTCAAAAGCTATATAACTTCCGTAACTAGCAACATCATCTATTGTCCAAACTTTTAAAATCTGAAGTACAGATGCAATATTGTTCTCGTGACCACACCATAGGTACATTTTCTTATCGGGATAGCTTCCATTTATTTTCTGATCAGTATCGTGCAAAATGTGCTTCAAAAGATACCCTAAAAATAAAATTAATTGAAAAAATATGTATACTTTTACAGGACTAATCAAAAGTATAGGGTGTTTAAAAAAATTGTTTTTTTATGACACATTCGGTAAATTAACTATCAATATATTTATTAAATCACCCTGTAGTCAGTGAATTGGATAATTGTACATATGGTAAATACGCAAAAGTCCCGTAAAAATACTGCGTTTCACATAAATACTTATACAAAAATATTTTAGCCTATGTCGATATTTACGAATCACCCTGTATAAGTGTCACCTAATATCTTTTGTAATATCATTAGATATTATAAATATAGCAATAATTAATTTTTTAGTAAATATTTTCACCTTCTAGAACAATAAAAATATTTATCAAAAACATGTCTTATTTGTGACCCACTCTGTAAAGGAAAATAATTTTTGACCCAATTTTATATTCGTAGAATGCCCATAGATGTTACAATAAGATTTTTCACAAGAAATTATAATCGATTAGCTTTCTCCTGAAATAAATGTTATCAAATAAGTGGATTTCTTAAGTTTAACACCCTGTATCTCAAAAAACAGTCATAGGATTTGAATGGTCCCATGGACACTATTGCTTAAGAGGTTGAGAACTGCAACATATCAAAAATTTATGACAGGTCGCCAATTTTCCATAAGCGGTGTGCGGGGTCCTTTGCACTTTTTCTAAAATATCTCAAAAAAAGTTGAGCGCTTACCGACCTGAGCCATGAAGGCTTATGTTAAGTTAATTATCTAATCAAATATATGTGATATTAGCATTTTCTACAACGGCTTTTTCCCCAGACAAGAATGAACGAAAAATTTATAAATTTACCTTAAAGTGTACCAAAAAAAGTATCACTGCCAAATTATAAATTAATTTGTTTTTTGGGAGAAAGTTTAGTTAACAAACCCAAATAGTTTCTCGAACTTAATAAGAACTCATTCTAACTACTGGTAATTATGATTTTGATACAAGAATTAAGTTTCAAAAATTAGACAGCTATAGAATTTGACCGACGCGCGACGTGCCGCTGTAAAAACATTATTGTGGAGAGTTTTTCTTACCTCCAGCCATTTGACGAAGATTTCTGGTTGCTGTAATAGAACCGTAATAATCCAAAGTTAAATTTTTCAAAGGATACGGGTACACGTCAGATGCCCAATCCGGTAAAGGATAACCAAGTTCTTCCTAAAACAGTGAAATTCTCAATACAAGTTCTGACTAAAATATTACTGTAATTTCTTAATATTTTAAGTATTATATTAAACAAGATTGAATGTTAAGAACTGAGCCTAACTAGGCATCTATACTAGCAAAACATATAATACCAAAATCTCAAATCCAAAATTCAAATAGTAAGCATTAAGTATTTCGTATTTTTCTTCGGTTTTATTAGATAAAAAATCAAGTAAAGAATCATATTTCCCGAACACACTCTTTCCTTCTTCACTAGCTAAATATCTGTCTTTATTCACATCCCAAGAGGGGCAACCAAAACAGAAGAGCTCCTGAAACATTCATAAAAAGTTATAAATAGTAAAATGCGTTGACTTTGTTTATATCTGGAAAATGTGTTTCAACCTTAGACTAGGAAAGAAAACTATTTTTTAGACTAATTTTAGAGATTTGCTACCACATAGCGATCGACCGCCATTTCTTTTATTCTTTTTATTCTTTTATACAAAATGTTGATCAAACAGCATAATTTATTATTAAGTGATGACAATAGTAATGTGTTCAGCTTATGGCTGAAATAGATAAAATTAAATAGAGGAAAAAGGAATTACATATACAATATACAATAAATATAAAATAAATATACAATAAATATACAATAAATATACAATAAATATACAATAAATATACAATAAATATACAATAAATATACAATAAATATACAATAAATATACAATAAATATACAATAAATATACAATAAATATACAATAAATATACAATAAATATACAATAAATATACAATAAATATACAATAAATATACAATAAATATACAATAAATATACAATAAATATACAATAAATATACAATAAATATACAATAAATATACAATAAATATACAATAAATATACAATAAATATACAATAAATATACAATAAATATACAATAAATATACAATAAATATACAATAAATATACAATAAATATACAATAAATATACAATAAATATACAATAAATATACAATAAATATACAGTAAATATACAATAAATATACAATAAATATACAATAAATATACAATAAATATACAATAAATATACAATTTCATTGCCAATTGCCTGTATTAGATTTACTTCTAAGGTTCGAGAAAGAAATATTGTGCATTTAATAATTTTTGGTTACGCCGCTGTCTTAGACAAATAAATATACCTAAATTGTATGTCTGCGTTTAAAATCTGGTGCCAAAGAGACGCATATTGAAGTTCAGATTTCCTAGTCTAAGATTTCAACAGATTCAGAATATTTAGAGGTTAAAATAAAAAAAGTACTCAAGTACCTTATCCGAGTTTCTTTCCACATAGGTAGTGGCAATCGGTTGCCAATTGAAACCTGGTAACCAGGTAAGTTCTTTTGTTGGTGGAAAAAGACCTGCCAACATTGCTTGTAACGAGGCTTTAGTCCTGTTAAAGTCACTACTTCGAGCGTCTATTAAATTAATATTATAAGTTTCATCCAAAAATCCAGTATACTTTGTTCTTATGTCTTTGCCAAGATTATAAGCTGTCAGTTTTCCTTTCTAAAATAAACAAGTTAAGAACAAGAAAAATAGCTGGGAATCTGTAAAACTTATACCTAACTTAAAGGAAAATAATATGTACGTTCTGTATATTCCCGATATTACATTAGACGTCAGTCATTTAACTGTAAACTAATTTAAAATTAACTGTTTTTTGATAAGGTAATTTGTTCAAATAAGTACCTAACTAGACATGTTAATGTTTTATCACTTTTGTAAACTCATTAAAAATCATTAATATTTAAATCATTTTCTATGAATTTTTAGATACCTAATTTGAAAATTACAAATCACATTAATTGTCCATGACGCATTTTTATTAAATAAAAAGTTATCTTTTTAAAACGAGGCCGAAAAGTTTCAAATATCTTAATGTATGCTAATGTCTAATACTCGGTAACATCACAGTAACATATTAAAAAAAATTGTTTTTATTTTTATTGTATGTATGTATGTAAATGGCCATCACTCATCATGAATTTCATTAGGAAATCACATTTTATCCAAGGCCAATTTACTACAATCGAAATGCTTTTGTATTAAGACGAAATTTTACTTACATTTGTCAGTTGTCCAAATCCGCTGGGTTTGAAATAAGATTCGTTATAATATGGGCTGCTTTTATACAAATTGTTCATTTCTGGACATCTGTCTCCATGTCTAAAAATCTGCAATACAAAATTAAGTAGGTAATAGTGGAAGATTAATGACAAAGAGAAAGAAAATAAAGCAGAAATAATCTAACAATTACCCTGTCAGAGCAAGAACTGAATTATCAAGGTATTATTCGGCGTAGGCCGAAAAAGTCTTTTGTAGCCGCTCACTTAAAGTGTATCAAATATATCAACTTTTTAATTGTTTCTTGTCCGAAAAATGACGTCATTTGACATATTTGAATAAAAAAATGTTATTATCCGAGTGTTGCATTCATAATAATTGTCTATGTACTAATTTTTTTTAAAGTAATTGACAGAGTAAACAATGACACACTAATTTTTAAACTATATTGTAATAAATTGGATTGATGGTTGTTTGCGTAACAGAATTCAATATGTTACATATTGTAACTGCAAATCAGAGGCAATTACAGGTTTATCAGGTGTATTGCAGGGATCTCATTTGAACCCGTTGCTATTCAATTTATTTAACAATGATCTCTGTAGTGCCGTCTCTAACAGTAAATATGTTTGCTGATGATGTAAAGATACTTAGAGCAGTTTCCAATGAAACAGATCCTATGTTACTACAAGAAGATTTAAATAAATTGTCCCGTTGGTATGAAGTAAAAAATGTTAAAAAATGTCATCAGTTCACCTATTAAAATACTATTTTCCTTTTGTCATATTGTTCCCCTTGTAATTTTTCTTTAATAAATATTTTATCGGTTTTATCAACAAATTAAATCGGGTATTTTCATTTAAAAATTAAAAATGTATTGCGATTTACTGTTATTTCCGAAAAAACTGAAGCAAGCCATAACGTCACTGACTAATTGAACCGTCATAAGAAACTTTTTGTTCCAAACTCTTTTAACGTATGTCTTCAAGAAAATAAATCTAAGTATGTTATATTTACTGATAGAGTGCAGTAGAATATTTTGCAAAATGGAACGTTACCAGTCCTACCAACTATATAGCTTCAGAAATTCTTAAGCTTAACTACCAATGTTTGGAACTAAATAAAGAAATTTCGTTGGCGTGGATAAAATCTCATGTAGGTATTAGTAACAATGAGAAAGTGGATATACTAGCAAAAAAGGCTACTGTTTCGGGAACTAATAAAAATATTAAAACTCCAAAATCAGATTTTATTGCTAAATCTAAATTATCAATGTTTAAAACTTGGCAAGATGCATATTCTAAAGAAGAAAAAGGGAAGAAATACAGAAACATTCAACCTAATATTCCAAAGTGTCCCTGGTTCAAAAACGAAATAAATAGGTCTTTTATCAGAGTTATTTGTCGTATGAGAAGTAATCATGCTATGCATCCTGCCTACAAGGAAAAATTTGGTCTATCAGATAATAATTTATGTTTAATTTGTGATGAAATTGCTCATCTCAATCATATAATTTTAGAGTGTGTCCTAAATTGGCTAGATACTGACACAATGTACTTAGAATTAGTTAATATTGGTATACCTCTACCACTAAACATTGATGTTCTGCTTTCGTTAAACGATGTTAAAGTTTATAAAATATTGTATGAATTTGTTAAAAAAACTAATACAAGATTGTAAGTAGCTGAGCTAAAAATATTGTAAACCTGAAACGAAAAAATAAAATAAATAAAAATGAAACCAAGGAAAAAAAAGAAGAAAAAACAAAAATAATACAAAAAAAACAATAAAAACAAAATAATACAAAAAAAATAAAAAATAATCAAGAATACATATAATAAAAAATAGATATTTTTTATAATTAATTACAAACTCAGGTATTTTGATAGATGTAAGTCAAAATATAATAATAATAATGTAATCATGTAACAATAGTCGATAAAACAATTAAAGAATTATGGCCTTTTGGTTTTATCCAGTGCCATTAAAAAAAAAACTCTCAAACAACAAATAATAATTCCTATATATGAAATAATAATTAAGGGGGTGGAATTTTTAAAAGGGTTACCAATATAAAAATGCTTAGATACACCACTGGTGTAATTTGGGTGAGTCGCAGTAGGAACACTGAGGCTAACAAAGAGTTTCTAAAGGTAATGCATTCTCATAATTTTTTTTTGTGAGGTTGTTTAGAGCAAGCCTGGCGGGGAGCTATATCCCACTAGGATGGACGTTGTGGAAAGTCGTGTATATACACAAGGCTGGTAGAGTAGATACCCCCTACCAAACTCTTATCATCCAATCTGCCTAACATCCTTCCTTCTAAAAACACTAGAGAGGATTCTAGATAGGCATATTAGAGAATGAAGTCTTCGGGCAAACCCGTTAAACTACTCTCAATATGCCTACCAAGCAGGCAAATCGACAGATCATGCCCTGCACAATCTCGTAGGCAAAATCGGCCATTCCCTAAATCACGGGGAGATTGCGCTAGGTGTCTTCCTAGATATAGAAGGCGCGTTCAACAACGCCCTTCCTTAGTCTTTGTTCTCTTCTATTGAGAGAAGAGGAATCGACAAACTAACTTGTAATTGGATCAAAAGCATGCTGGCAAACCGGAACATCACTCCATCACTGCAGGGAGAGACTGTCAGAGGATGTCCACAAGGCGGCGTACTTTCACCCCTACTGTGGACTATTCTGGTGGATAACCTGCTAGACGATCTCTCCCGACAGGGAGTGGATTTCCAATGCTATGCGGATGATCTGGTTATCATAATTAAGAGAAAGTTCGAAGAGGTGATCTCTAACATCCTTCAACAAGCCCTTAATATGATCAACAGATGGTGCGAGAGATAGCAGATATCTGTTAACCCCCGCAAAACTGTTATTGTCCCCTTCACCAAGAGAAGAAAGCTCGACAAGCTTCGACAACCTACCTTTTGCGGAGGAGGTGAAATATCTGGGAATCACCCTAGTTAAAAAACTCATCTGGAACCTTCAATTGAATAAAAACCATCAACAAAGCCAGATTATCCCTCTGGACCCTGGATATGCGGCAAAGCATGGGGGATCAGTCCTCAACTGATCTATTGGATTTACCAAACAGTGATAAACCCCATGGTTACGTACGGCTCTGGTGGAACAAGGGACTCCAACGGACGGCCAGAGCAAAGCTGGCTGGAATACAGCGGCTTGCGTGCCTCGCCATAACTGGAGCAATGTCAACTACGTAGAAAAAGCCGACGCACTTGCTAAAAGAGGAACCGATTCTGTGTTCATAGGACCAGAACCATTCCTGGGAATTGCAAAAAGCACTGCCAAAGGAATTATCTCAAAATGGACGGAGGGTGCAACACTCACAAACAGCCGGAGAGGCTAGCCGCGAGCTTAGTGTGCATCCACTTAATCGCAACAGTTAAGCAGTGATCTCTCCGGTCACGTCGTGGATGGGTGACCGCTGGGAGGTTCCACCATGGGCCGTGTCACCATAGGATTAACCATCGACGACGTGGAATGAATGAGGGTGTGAATGGGAAAGTAGTAGGACCTTCAAATGGTGGTACAATAAGCCGCAGGCTGCAGTGCTGCCAGACTACAGGCGGATTAGGGTGTAGCACGGGAGGTCCGAAGGGTATACCCCAGGGCTACCATTCGAAGGCGTTTATAACCAACCCTTCTATGAACGCATCTACTCAGATCCGAGAATGGAGTAGGAAAGATCTACGCATTTTCACTGGACTGATGACAGGACACTGCCGTCTGGGCAACCACATGAGAAGGATAGGTCTGCAACAAACATCGGACTGTCGATTCTGCAGCGTGGAGGACGAGTCTGCAGAGGACATTTTATGTACCTGCTCCGCTCTGGAAAGAACCAGGTTACAGATCTTCGGAATTACCCGACTGGAGCCTACCGACTTTTAAGAAGTCTCACCCAATTCAACCATGACCTTTATCAAAGGGTGTGGCTTGTACGGTGAACTATAAGTTAGTCATGAGCCACAATAGACCCATCTGGGTCGCAGTGGAAGGCGATGAGATCATCTCACTCATTTTCAACCTAACCATACATTTTTCCTTCAACGAGTTATTACTAACACATTTAGAAATGATAGTATTCAATACAGGGGCCATTTTGTCAGCCGACAGAATATTTTAAATTAAAGATTTCTATCTAAAAATCTTCAGTAAATTTCAATTTTGAATAAATATGAGGATTTCATTTAAAAATTAAAAATAAATTGCAATTTACTGTTACTTCCGGAAAAATCGGAAGTAAGCCATGACGTCACATGATAATTTAATCCGTCATAACAAAGTTCTTGTTCTAAGCTTTCAAACAAAAACAAAATCAATTCGATATCTTAAATAATGACTAAGATAAGAGCGGTTGGAATTTTTAACAGGTTTACCAATAATAAAAATGTTTAGATACGCCACTGGTGTAATTTGGGTTAGTCTCAACGAGAAAACTAAGGCTTAACAAAGGGTTTTTAAAGGTAATTTATTTCAATATATTCTTCTTTAAACGAGTTATTAGTAAAATATTTAGAAAATAGTATTATCCAATATGGCGGCCATTTGACAGCTGACAGAATATTTTCAATAAATGTTTCTTATCCAAAAATGTTAAATAAATTAGAATTTTCGGAAGTACGCCATGACATCACAAAATAATTGAATACGTTATAATAAAGTTCTTACTCCAAGCTTTTAAACAAAAAAAAATCATTTTGATGTCTCAATTAATAACAAAGTTAAGGACATTTGTTGACGCGGAAACTTTTAAAATACAAGGTTTCGCACAAAAAATTGCTTTTCTAATTTTTTAAATTTTTGCAATCGGTTTAAAACCCTGTATGACAGAGTGTCGGGTCTTACATTTATTTAATATAATATTAAAAATTCAGAACATATCGTTTATACGAGGTAACTCGTTAAAGCCGAAAAACAATATATTCCCTCTGTAACCACATTTATGAGTCACCCTGTATAAAATATAATATATTATCAAAAAGCAATTACTTAAACTATATTTTCATGGTACAATGATAAGTGTTCATATTTTAACGCTATCATAAAAAAAAACGTTTTTTTTTTTTTAAAAACCAGACTTAATATTTCCGAACCATCCTGTAATTAACCAATTTCTACTGTAACTTTTTATAAAATGTTAGTATCAAATAATCTGCAATTCATGTTGTCTACAACAAACACGAATAAATTTCTGATATTTGATGGTTTTATTTTAGGTTTTTCAATACATTAGAACTTTTTGTAACGTAGGTACCTAACTTTTTTCCATTAAAATAATAATGACAGTTTTTCATATGCAACCAACTTAAATACAAGGGCGACTTCAGGGATGGGACCTCCTCTGAGATTAAATTTTTTACAATCTAAGATCATTTAATTAAAAAAAAGTATGCTATAACGGGGATGGCTAATGACAAAATAGCACCCTACGAAAATTTGGCCTGGAGCCGCTCCTGCTTAAATACCTATAAAACCAAGAAATATATTTGTTGTACTTACTAAATGTACAGCTACCAAACTTTTATTATCCAAAGCTCTAACGTTTATTATTAATTCAATAAACACAATAACTATTATTAATATTAACTTCATTTTCACTAAAAAAACTTTAGTCACACGCGAGCTCTAACATTTTTTCATTTTGTTTTATCAGTGCGAAAAACGTGTATGATAATCATCAATCTTAAGCTAATTTAGGTGATAAAGAATGAAACAAAAATTTTGTGTTAACTGTACAGGCAACTAAATTTAAATTATACTTTGCCATATGCTTATATCAATATATACTTTATTTATTGTAGTGTAATTATAAGAAACAATCATTTAAAGACATTGAAATAGACTAGGACAAAGTAGAGGCAGCGGCGTCACTAGCATGTGTTGAGGGGGTTACATACTAACTGCAGTCGAAATAAAAGGTCCAACTACAGGTATTCTAGTAGTTGTCTAGGATTAGTTAGATTTAGTATATATGTTGACAGGGCCGACGAGAGGGGGGTAGTCGGGATTAATTAATTCCCGAAGCCCGGGCTCAAGTGGGGGCCTGGCCTCAAGTGGGGACCCGGCAGCGGCATTAGGGGGGCTGGCAGCTTTAGGTGAGGCCCTTTTTTTTCACTAAAGAGGAGGAGAAAGAAGTATTTGCTTGAAGACTTTTTTTCAGAAGTGATATTGAAATGAAATTGAAAGGGATTAATTTTTTTATAAAGTGTCGCGGGGCCCGACCTGGAAAACTGTCATGGTACCCGACCTGGCTCTCGGCGGCCCTGTATGTTAATACTCATGTTCGTATGTTGGTATAAGGAATGTCATTGTAGGTAGAACAGGCATGATGCATGCCAGCGTCCATTCTATCTACAAAAAGTAATAAAATCTCACTAAAGTATAGGTTGTTTTTAATTATAAAAGTAAAATCTATAATAAATAAAAAGTAAAACATGGTGTCTGGTGTGTTGCCGAAAATAGCAAAAAATTGAGGAGAAAGTAGAGGTTAGTCAAAACACATTTCCCTACAAAATATCTTTCAATAAAAAATAGCAAAAAATAAAAATCAATAGAAAATGGAGTACTTTAAGCCTCCAGAAGCCTTTAATGTTTAAGAGCCAAATGGAAGCAGAGATTTGACTTATTTTTGCTAGCATCAAGCAAAAATACCGCAGACGAAAAGGTAAAGGTAGCTTTACTTTCAAATATTCTTGGTGAAGCATGCTTGGATATATTTAAAACTTTTGACAAAGCAAAAACTAGCAAGTTAGATGATGTTTTATCTTGCTTTAATGATCATTTTTTACCAAAAAGAAATGTCAATATGGAAACATTTAAATTTAATAACATACATCAAAGAGAAGGGCAAAATATTGACTCATTTTAAACGGAACTAAAAAAACAAGCAGCAAATTGCCTATTTATATGAGAAAATGATCCATGTAAAACGAGTTACTCAGACAGAATGATTAAAGACAGAATAGTATGTGAGAAGCAAGTTCAAAGACACTTTTGTTGTGAGAGCACTCAATGACCCTTAATAAAATACAAGAATACTGTCGCAGTATTGAGATTGTGGAATTATTGAATGGACCTGAAGTAACATAAGAAGTAAATGCTTTAGGGTGAGATTACAGAACGTCTGCAACTTTGCAGATCTGCAAATATGGCGGACTTACAGATGCAAGTATCAAGTTTTCGTATACCAAAAAATATCTACAAATTAGCAAAATGTATTGTGGTTTATTGCGAATTTGCAGATATTTTTTGGAATACAAAAACTTGATACTTGCATCTGTAAGTCCGCCATATTTGCAGATCTGCCGCCATATTTGCATATCTGCAAAGTTGCAGACGTTCTGTAATCTCACCCTTAACATATAGAGGTTATGTTACAAAAATGTCAAGCGATAAATGCACGAGGTGCGATGGTGTACATGAACCACGGCAATGTCCTGCATACAATAAAACTTGCGCAGTATGCAAATGTATGGTTTTTTTAAGGATAAAGGACAACAGTAGAGAAACACAATTCAAGGTAACAGTTCGTATTAAAGTTATTTTAGGTCAAATAAGTAACAACATGATATAAATCGGATGAATACATCTGAGATACAGGTTTCACATGATGTTAATGTTTAGGGTATTGGAGAAACATCTGTAAGTAGTGAAGACACAGTTTATAGCTAAAGAATCAGTTCGCTCACTCTGCGTCGGCACTTTTGATCTCAATGTTCCAGTTTATACACTACGCAACTCGGATTTGTATCCCTGGCGCATACAGAATCAAATCATAACCAATACAATGGGGTCTATTCTGTAACTATAGTTGTTATCTGGCAACTTTATAACCACTGGCTATCTTACCACTTTCATAGTAACTGTATGTAACAACTTTGACATAAATAGCTATTCTCGATTGCTAAATTAGTCTATGCTGTATACAGTTATGCTACCGATCAAGTTGCTATGATCAAGGTAAGTTGTTGTATTACCACTTTAAGAAAATCAGAATTCTGTAAGAAAAATTTGTAACAACTACGAGGGCCACTGCTAAAGTTCGCGGAATCAAGTACTCCTTGTATTGCCAGCGTTCTGCCACGGCATAAGAAACAATCGGCAGGCTAATTTGTCTTGGCGGCAACGCTACGCGCACATCTACGCGCACACCGCCTCAATCAAACCAGTGGCGTCACTGTCGTCGTTTATATCGACAAAAACAAACAAGTTGCAGCAGCTCGGAATCAGTAGCGTGGGTCTTAAATTTATTTTGTTTGTGATGTGTGTATTATGTAGTTATTGTTATTTTTTTAGAATTATAGATATTTTTTGATACTTTTTATATAGTAGTTGTTTTACAGTGTTAACTTTTACGTGTTTTACTATGTCTGGGCAAAGTTGTGCACCAAAAAACTAAATGAATAAACTGTCTTAAAAGATTTTTTCGGTTTATTAAAGATCCTATTAGGTAGGTATGTATGGTATACTTTTAAAAAAAATCCTAGATTATGGGTCAGTTTGTCAGTCATCGACCTATTAGTAAGATGTAGGTAGGTGCCTAGTTAACGTCACGTAAAGTTTAGCATCAATTTATATTTACTTATGTAGGTATATTATTAAGATTTAAAGTAAAATGTTATGTTTTAAACATCTCCCGTATGGAGTTGACAAAATGGAAAAATCTTTATTTTTATTTTAAGGAAAAAGTCATTATAAAAAATTCTGTTTGACGAAAAAATAGGTTTACTATATTAATATGTTAGGTCAGGTGTACAGGGTCTTAATATATGAAGAAACTTAAAATTGACAAAAATCTGTATTACCTATTGATTTTACGAAGAAAAGTCACAGTTTTCCTTCATAACTTTAAAAGGAAACTTTTTCTTGTAATTTTTTTTAACAAGCAGAATTTTTTGTAAGGAATGACTTTTTTTTCTGAAAGAAATGAATATTAATCGTAATTGTGTTATTCCCAAATATTGAAATGCTTAACAAAAATTTAATTCTGATATTCATTTTGATAATTATTCTAGATATGCGAATAACAAAGCTTTATAATCTTGATAAATCTAAAGTATTTTCATTACAAAAAGCAAGAAAATCTTAATTAGCCTTTAAAGAAATTATAAGTAGTAAATTAGTAATGAGTCACAATCAAAATCATGTGTTTTAAGCAGTACTATTAAAAATGTAAAATGCTTATATTTTGTCGAAGTAAATTCAAAAGCCCGCCAATTTTCAAGCTAAAATAGCATTACATCTTTCTATATTACCGACTGAGTATTAATTGCACAAAACTATTCCATATGTCGCTGAAGGTAAACATGCTGCCAAATTTCTGTGAGGAATCTGAAACTCTTAATTATCCTTCCTCCAAGATGGTAACTGTGTAAACCCTATATCGATCCAAATTCAAAGGACGTTCAAAAAATTGCAATGTTTAAATTTATTACATTCTGGAACTGAAAACTGCGAAACAGGTGGGGATGCTTTACTTGTAAGGCTACATGAAATTCGTAGGACTAGTAAGGGTGAGCCATTTTCCAAAATCGCGTGTAATGGTGGTAATATTGTCGAAAATGTAAATATAGGTAAACAAGCATATTAATGAATTGCTTGCACAAAATATTAATATTTTTTAAGAAAATTTTATTATATTTTTAATAAAAAAAATGTCTTAAAATTCAACGTTGCAATGTATGTACACAATATGCCTTAACACACGAAGACTTGGATATAAGCTCCATGTATTGTTATTATAAAGCATACAAAAAAAGCAAATAAAGATATTTGCACGGCATAAAAAACAATCGGCAGGCCCACTCTCCGCTGATCGCATACAAATATTATACTAAGAAAATTTGACCTTGACGACGCCATTCGGGGGTCTTAGTCAGGGTCGGATTAAAGCGTATTTAAAGATTTTGTAATAAAATAAGGTATTGATAGGCAGGATCGTATTAAAACAAAAAAGCTTCACAGATTGCGCCAAATAATTAGCTTGTTTTTATTGATGGTCTTAAAATTTCTATTAATATTTTTAAAGTATAACATATTAATATAGTAAACCTATTTTTTCGTCAAACAGAATTTTTTTATAATGATAATTAATAATATACCTACATAAGTAAATATAAATTGACGCTAAACTTTACGTGACGTTAATTAGGCACCTACCTACATCTTACTAATAGCTTTATAACTGACAAACTGACTCATAAACTAGGATTTTTTTAAAAGTATACCATACATACCTAATAAGATCTTTAAGAAACCGAAAAAATCTTTTAATACAGTTTATTCATATAGTTTTTTGCGCACAACTTTGCCCAGACATATGAAAACACTTAAAAGTTAACAAATTAACACTGGAAAACAACTACTATATAAAAAGTGTCAAAAAATATCTATAATTCTAAAAAAATAACAATAACTACATAATAAAAACATCACAAACAAAATAAATTTAAGATACACGCTACTGATTCCGTGCTACTGCAACTTGTTTGTCTTCTTCTTCTTTCAAGTTTTTGTCGATATAAACGACGACAGTGACGGCACTGGCTTGATTGAGAGGTTGGACCCCAAAATGGCGGTGTGCGCGTAGATGTGCGCGTAGCGTTGCGGCCAAGACAAGTTAGCCTGCCGATTGTTTATTATGCCGTGATATTTGTATGCGATCAACGGAGAGTGGGCCTGCCGATTGTTTTTTATGCCGTGTCATGGGGCTGTCAGAGGGTAGTCTCTTGTGCTCAACGAAGTTGTAACAACAGAACTGATGTTAATAAGAAGAAATTATCAGGAATAACTTTCCACAAGAAAGTATACAACACAGTAAACTATGTGCAGGGCGGTATCTGGGAAATAGA